AATATATAGAATTTAACTAATAATATATAGAATTTAACTAATAATATATAGAATTTAACTAATAATATATAGAATTTAACTAATAATATACAATAATTTTTTCAATACTTATTGAGAAAAATATATTTTTCAATATAAATCAAATATCATCAACAACAACAAAAATAATATTATTATTAATACTTACCGATTAATATCATTATTCAATAGCACTGATGATTGATAGTTAGGCCATAGTAATAGCGATTCACAAATTAATAATAGATTCAGTAATGATATCAAATAAACTACAATAATTGAATTATACATATTGTAGGATATTTTTGGTTACAAATATTTTTATTTATTTATTTTTCAAACTATTGTTATTTTTTTCTCTCTTTCTCAAACAAATTCAAAAATAAAATAAAATATATAAAATTAGAAAAATTTGTGACAATTTTCTACCAAAAAATATTGTTTTCTAAAATATAGTATACATTATATATATTTTTACTCAATGTCTATACTATATTAAATATCTAATATATGTTTTTTGTTTAAACTTCAATAAACAAATTTTGTTGTGTCACTGAAAAAATTGTTTGTTTGTTATTTGTATGTGTTTTGCATAGATAGCCGATAATCTAATTGATAATAATTTGTGACATCTAAAAAAATTGTAATAAATTTGTGTTACTTTTATCTGTAATATAATTAATGTTTTTTTTAATAAATTATTAGTAATTGTTTTATTTTGTGTGTGTATGTGTTTGTGTGTGATATCAATATATAATTTAGTAGTACTATAGTTGTTGAGCTATTGAGCAAATAGTGACTTATTTTTTGTGTATCTCCTAATTATATAACATTTACTATACTTTATAGTATACATGTATAAACATTGTATAATATATAGTTTATATGGTTGAGTAAACTCTATGCACAGGTAGATATTGCACATAGAGATTGTGCACACACACACATAAGTATTGTATATATTGTATTAAAAATTATATAATAAATATTTATTTATTTTTTTTGTGTAAATGTTAATTAACATTTTGAAATTGATTATATAGTGAGATATAAATAATTTTTTTTAAATTATCATTTTTGTGATACATCATAGATATAATATAACAAACATTGAAAAATAATTATCTGTTTTTTTTTGTTGTTTGTATTTTTAATTATTGCATTAAAAAAAATCAAAACAAGTTTCATTCAATAACTTTTTTTGTAGATATAATTTTTTTTTCTTAAAAAAATATCTTATTATAATTGCTATTAGTTAAACAAAAATATAAATAAATAAAAACAAAATGAAACTTAATTACTATAAACAAAAAATTAAATCAATTAATATTATAATTTTTTTTTGTCTATTGATGTGTACATCATATCCACATAGGATGTCGTAAAGATCGTTGTCTATTATCTGTAATAAATTTTTTTGGAAAAAAAATATATATTTATAAAATGTATATCAAGTTTAGGGCACCTATAGCTATATGGATATGTGGTGGCACCCCCCCCCCATCATACCTCTACATATACTATGCATAACACGTAACTCGAACGGTGGTTGCAGCCGGCGATCCCGTCGGGGAGGAACCGAACATACCGTACAATAGCATCGACACCAACGAAAACAATAGTGAGCGGCATACAGGAGCCCAACAAATGATAGTACAATACTAATGGTACTAACCATTCGCATGTCTTGTTTGTATTATATATATCATAAGTACAGCAAAAAATAATAATAATAATTATATTAAGACAAAAAAAAATAATATTTTTTAAAAACAATAATTAATAAATTATACAAAAAATACTGAAAAAATTAATTAAGTTTAAAAAAAAAATTATTTCAAGCACCTACTGATTTTGTGGCGACCAATATAGCATAGTATATCATCGACGACTGTTGTACCGTTAGGATTGACATCCAGACAGTACTCGCGGAACAGTTGCGATGGTATTACTTTAGGTGACGGCATACTTATCTTTATTATAGATAAGATAGACTACTCTCTGTGTCTGTGTGTTTGTGTACTGTATTTTGATGTTGTATTTTGATAGACATGACTTTGATTTTTATTTTTTTTATTTTGTTGTATTTTTCTCTATCTATGAAATGCGTTGAATACATACTAACAACTATAATAGTACTGCTATTATCATTATGACTGTTATGTAATACAGTATAATAGTGGGCATTATTTTAAGGTGTTTTTAACATTTTTTGTGCTAATAAATACTGTACTATATTATATATATACACACTTTACTATCATATATTGTATAATTTTATATTCACAAACATTTATATGTATATACAGTGTATATATATATATATGTTTTTTAATGTTACCGGTAGTTATTTTCATATTAGTTAATAAGATTTAAAATTGAATTAATGAGACTATTAAATAATGATTACACATACTGTAGAAAAAACAGTATTATTTAAGTTAATAATAATTATATACCGGTATATATATATATATATCCACAAAAAATTGAACTAAAATATAATTGTAATACGAGTCTGGAAAGTAATTTAGTGTTTAGTGTAATATTAAAATACTATCAAATTATAAAAGAAATAATTTATATATTTATTATTATTATTATTATAAAAAATAAATAATATCAAAATTGATATATTAAAAAATAAAATTAACAATATTTAACAGTTATTGATATATTAAATATTATATATTAAGAATATTAATAGAAATTATATATATATATATTATTATTATTACTAAAAATAAAATACTTAATTATTAAAATAAATTATATCAAATTTATTTATGTATCAAAAATTAAAACTTGTAATTTATAATATAAAAATTAATCTAATCCTCAATACAAATATCAAACATTGTTTTTTTATGCCAACTACCGGAACATCAAAAAAAATTAATAATATCTATCATATTCTACACCATAACTGTACATTTAAACAGATATAATTATCATTTGAATATTTCAAATAAAGTCAATATAGGTTATCAATAGATTATAGAAAAAATTAACGCAATTTAGTCAAAAATTATACATTTATTTAAATTTTTAAAAAAATCTTTCAATTATGGATCAAATTTATTAATACAATTATATTAATAATAATAGATTTTATAATAATTCAATTGATAATTATTATTATTATTCAAACAAAATTCTAATTATTATAACAATATGTATAATAATATAATTTGGTATTAATTTTAGGCAAATGGTCGACAATTTTTGAAACATTTTCCGAATCGATACCATTCTGTTTGAAGATTTCCTGAGTGACCACTGATGTGATATTATCGCCGATCCATTGGTTTGTCTTTTTCATCAGTTCTTCATCGGCGCCAAAGTCTTGCATTAGTTTTAGTGTTTTGAAAGCATTTCGGCCATTGATTCGCAAGAAAATCAAATTCAGACATATTGTCTTCAGCGACGATACCATATACTTGTCGGCGATGTATAGTAACTCTTCACACATTTCATACAATTTATCGCATTTCAGAAAATAAATATATTTCAGAAACTGCTTGAAGACTTTGCTGTCGATGTCATCGATAATTACTTCGTTGTTTGTCTTTTCCTTGCAATCAATGGTAAACATCTTCTCGAAAACCTCCGATCGGGCGCTGAGTATGAGTTTTGATGCGTAAAAGACTTTTTCTGTTTTGCCGACAATCAGTCGACAATCGTTTAGTTCGCGTATACCAAACATGTTTCGCAAATCTAGTAAACATCGGTAACCGACCTCCTTATGGACAGTGATGTCAACGCCCACCACAAGTGTATTATTATTGCCGTCAAACAGTTTGTCGATATTGTTAATCAAATCTTGTTTACTAATAACCAACGGTACACTCCATTCGTCATCTGAACTAAAAATGTTGTCAAACTCTTGTCTTTCATAGATATCATTATCACCACCGATGAGATACATCTTGTAATGTGTTTTAACAACCAGTTCATTGGTCTCAAGCAAACCAAGGAATAGAGAAACAGCATCTTCTGTGCGATTATCACAATCGACACTAATTCTCCACTTATCTGATCCAATGTTGAAGTCATCGCTTACAAACTCTTTCTTTTCTGTCCAATCGATTTGCAACTCATCGGTAAAGTTGGCGACTCTGAACACGACTTTTGTTTCATATGCTATAGTGTTGTCCATCACTGATGTCGATGACGACAATGTCGACAATGTGTTTGATTTTTGTTCAGTCATTATTTAGTCACTGATTCGCCACTAATGTTATTTATAATCAAAATCAATGAATTCACAAACTTTAAATATCAATTGAATAGCAAAATAACTAAAATTTTATTTCATTTCAAATTTATGATTCATAATACCGTATATCATAATAGTCGACATTAATTGCGTTGTTATATAAACTAAGGGTTCAATCATGTAATAAGTTTCATCTAAATAGTTATAAACATGTATTAATATAATAATTTGAATGACGTTTTTTATAATTATAAGATATGATTAAATAATAACAATTATAATTATATTATAAAATTTAGTAAAAAATAACATAATATAATAATTTACAATAACACTAACATAATTTTTAAATATTTATTTATCAAATTATTATTATTAGAATAAAATTAAGTACATTTGATAATAATGTGATAATAACTATTGAAAAATCAATTTTTTATTATTTGTTTTAATTGTATATACAGTAATAATATATTACAAATACAATACATAATATTTATATAATTGAATAATTTATATAGATTTTCTTGATTCAACAAATTTATTAATACAAATAAATTATATATTTTAATAATAGATTTTATGATAATTCAATTGATAATTATTATTATTATTATTCAAACAATTATTCTAATTATTATAACAATATGTATAATAATATAATTTTGTGCTAATTTTAGGCAAATGGTCGACAATTTTTTTTATATTTCCCGAATCGATGGCATACTTTTGGAAGATTTCCTGAGTGACCACTGAAGTGATATTATCGCCGATCCATTGGTTTGTCAACAACATCTTCTGTGTCATTATCACAATCGACACTAATCCTCCACTTATCTGATCCAATATTGAAGTCATCGCTTACAAACTCTTTCATTTCTGTCCAATCGATTTGCAACTCATCGGTAAAGTTGGCGACTCTGAACACGACTTTTGTTTCATATGCTATAGTGTTGTCTATCACTGATGTCGACAATGTGTTTGATATTTGTTCAGTCATTGTATAGTCACTGATTCGGCTAATGTTATGTGTAATTAAAATCAATGATTTATTTTTCAATACTAATTTTTTTTGATGTTGAATCAGTTATTGAAATCACAAAATAATTATTATGTCATATATTCACAAACTTTAATATCAATTAAATAGTAAAACAACTATAATTTTATTTAATTTCAAAGTTATGATTCATAATACCGTATATCATAATAGTCGTCGACATTAATTGTGTTGTTATGTAAACCAAGTGTTTAATCATCTAATCAATTGATAGTTATATACATGTATTAATAATTTGAATGACGTTTATTGATAATTATAAAATATGATTAAACCAGTTGAGAATGCTAGAAAGCATTTCCATACGAACTCCTAATCCGAATTAAAAATTAAATTAAAATCCAATGATTAAGTATGACATAATAAAACACTATAGTCATGTGGAGTATCAAATGACTAAGTATAAAAAAATAATCTAAAATATAGTCAAATGACTACCAAATGATTCATTATGACAAAATAAATTCAACCATAGTCATGTGGGGTATCAAATGATTCAGTATGACAAAACAAATTCAACCATAGTCATGTGGGGTATCAAATGATTCAGTATGACAAAACAAATTCAACCATAGTCATGTGGGGTATCAAATGATTCAGTATGACAAAATAAATTCAACCATTCACGTGGAGTATCAAATGGCTTAGTATGACAAAATATCTAAATTATAGTCAAGTGAGGTATCAGATGATTCAGTATGACAAAACAAATTCAACCATAGTCATGTGGGGTATCAAATGATTCAGTATGACAAAATAAATTCAACCATTCATGTGGAGTATCAAATGGCTTAGTATGACAAAATATCTAAATTATAGTCAAGTGAGGTATCAAATGATTCAGTATGACAAAACAAATTCAACCATAGTCATGTGGGGTATCAAATGATTCAGTATGACAAAACAAATTCAACCATAGTCATGTGGGGTATCAAATGATTCAGTATGACAAAATAAATTCAACCATAGTCATGTGGAGTATCAAATGGCTTAATATGACAAAATATCTAAACTATAGTCAAGTGAGGTATCAAATGATTCAGTATGACTAAATAAACTACATTTAATTTTTAATACTTTTGCCGCCATATTTCATAAAATTAATCCTGATCTATTATACCTTATTTTTGATGCTTTATACAATTATTAACGTTAAAATTTTTACCTAAAATTTTTTTTAATTTGGTCGCCATTTTTTCTAGGTTCCCGAAGAGATATCAAAATTTAAATACTAATTACTTATGCTTGTTTTTGATGCTTTATTCAAATCTGAAGTCAAAATTTAAAAATTCAATCAAATGCGGAGGGAAGGAAGGAAGGACATATAGAATTCAGATACGTACTCCTTTCAGGAGTTCGTGAAAATAACAATTATAAGAATAATAATAATAATAATAATACATTTGATAATAATATGATAACAACTATTGAAAAATCAATTTTTTATTATTTGTTTTAATTGTATATGCAGTAATAATATATTACAAATACAATACATAATATTTATATCATTGAATAATTTATATAGATTTTCTTGATTCAACAAATTTATTAATATAAATAAATTATATATTAATAATAACAGATTTTATGATATGTTTCAATTGATAATTATTATTATTATTATTCAAACAATTATTCTAATTATTATAACAATATGTATAATAATATAATTTTGTGCTAATTTTAGGCAAATGGTCGACAATTTTTTTTATATTTCCCGAATCGATGGCATACTTTTGGAAGATTTCCTGAGTGACCACTGAAGTGATATTATCGCCGATCCATTGGTTTGTCATTTTCATCAGTTCTTCATCGGCGCCAAAGTCTTGCATTAGTTTTAGTGTTTTGAAAGCATTTCGGCCATTGATTCGCAAGAAAATCAAATTCAGACATATTGTCTTCAGCGACGACACCATATACTTGTCGGCGATGTATAGTAACTCTTCACACATGTCATCCAATTTATCGCATTTCACTAAATAAAGGCATTTCAGAAACTCTTCGAAAACATCGGCGTCGATGTCATCGATAATCACTTCATTGGTTGTCTTTTCCTTGCAATCAATGGTAAACATCTTCTCGAAAACCTCCGATCGGGCGCTGAGTATGAGTTTTGATACGTAAAACACTTTCTCTGTTTTGCCGACAACAAGTCGACAATCGTTTAGATCGCGTACACCAAACACGTGTCGCAAGTCTAGCAAACATCGGTAACCGATCTCCTTATGGACAGTGATGTTAACGCCAACAACAAGTGTATTATTATTGTCAGCAAACAGTTTGTCGATATTGTTAATCAAATATTGTTTTTCAATAACCAACGGTACACTCCATTCGTCATCTGAACTAAAAATGTTGTCGAACTCTTGTATTTCATAGATATCATTATCACCACCGATGAGATACATCTTGTAGTGTGTTTTAACAACCAGTTCATTGGTCTCAACCAAAGCAAGGAATAGAGAAACAGCATCTTCTGTGCGATTATCACAATCGACACTAATTTTCCATTTATCTGATCCAATCACGAAGTCATTGCTTTCAAACTTTTTCTTTTCTGTCCAATCGATTTGCAACTCATCGGTAAAGTTGGCGACTCTGAACACGACTTTTGTTTCATATGCTATAGTGTTGTCCATCACTGATGTCTATGACGACAATGTCGACAATGTGTTTGATTTTTGTTCAGTCATTATTTAGTCACTGATTCGCCACTAATGTTATTTATAATCAAAATCAATGAATTCACAAACTTTAAATATCAATTGAATAGCAAAATAACTAAAATTTTATTTCATTTCAAATTTATGATTCATAATACCGTATATCATAATAGTTTTGATGCGTAAAACTTTTTCCTGTCTTTGCCGACAACAAGTAGACAATCGTTTAGATCGCGTACACCAAACACGTGTCGCAAGTCTAGCAAACATCGGTAACCGACCTCCTTATGGACAGTGATGTCAACGCCAACAACAAGTGTATTATTATTGTCAGCAAATAGTTTGTCGATATTGTTAATCAAATCTTGTTTTTTAATAACCAACTCATCGTTTTCGTTTTCGTTATCTGAAGTAAATATGTATTCAAACTCATGTCTTTCATAGATATAATTATCACCACCGATGAGATACATAATGTATTGTGTTTTAACCACCAGTTCATTGGTTTCAGTCAAATTAAGTGTTAGATAAAGCAAATCTTCTGAATCATAATCGACAGAAATATGCCACTTATCTGATCCAATGTTGAAGTCATCGCTTCTAAACACTTTATATTCTGTCCAATCGATTTTCAACTCATCGGTAAAGTTGGGGACTCTGAAGACGGCTTTTGTTTCATATGCTATAGTGTTGTCCACCATTGATGTCGATGACGACACTGTCGACAATGTGTTTGATTTTTGTTCAGTCATTGTATAGTCAATGATTCCCCACTAATGTTATGTATAATCAAAATCAAAGAATTACAGTAATTTTCAATAAGAAGGACACGCTTTTTTCATCTTCAAATTCATTCATAAAACTTTATTAAAAATTTATTACAGTATAGTAGAAATGTAATATTACCGGTATTACTGTATTGCATATGTGTACTATATATGTACTGTACTGTATTGCAAGGATGGCTATAGATAGTGGTCTCCACTAATAGAGGGTGTGGTAAAAGGGTAGGTGCGGTTGGAGTAGGGTTTTAAGGAAATAAATGCCTACCACATTAAATTGATAAAAAGCAACTGAATTTGTAAAAATAATGTGATTTTCTGTTTTTAGCTTGTAAATTAAATTTACAATTAATAAACTTATTTTCAAGGATATTACCTTTAAATTAAAGTATACAAAACAAATATATACAATGCTTTATAAATTGATTAATAATATAAAATTAAAATAATAGATGTCACCCCTTGAAAATTGATGCCCAGGGCAGAGGCAGGACAGTCATTTGGCAAAATTGGCAACTATTGTTTATGCCTGCCACATTTAAAACCCTGGGTGGGAGTCATTTAATACACAATGTACTACACATAAGGGTCTATCAGTGATTCCTCAATTGAACATTAAAATAAAAATTTTATAGTTGCCAACAAAAATTCTATATATAATTGTTATAATTTTGTTTTTTCTATTATTATTTTTAAGTTTTTGTTTTTTAAATATTAATGATTATTTTTATTTAAATCAAATTATTAATAAATTTATATTTAAATAATAACTTATTTAATTTGTCTCTAATTCTACATATTTTATATGTAATTTTTTATACTCTAAATATTATATAGTTTGGTTACTCTAGTTTTTCATAGTCTATTATACCATACTTGCAATACTTATCTAATATACAAATAATAATACAGTTGTAGTTTAAAAAATTATTGCATATTATTTAGTAAATAGGAAAATATTTTCACATTAATATACTGTTTGTAAAATTATATATATTAAATTAATATATTTGTAATAAATGATAAATTATTGTATAAATTTATATAATATTAAATAAAAGTTTTTTAGTATTCAAACTTTTGTTTTTTTAATCACTTTAATAATAATTTTATTTAGTCAATTTAACATTACTATTATATTATTATAGTTTATTATATAATATTACAGTAACGATTTAAATTTATTTTATTAAATAGGTATATATTAATTAATTTTGTATAGTATATAATTAATATTATAAATAATTGCCGGTAAATATAATAAATAATTAAATTTTACAATTATGATTTAATGTGTAAAATATATATAAAGATATATTATATTAAAAATTATTGTGAAGAAAAAAATTATTGTGATTTTGTTAACTATTAATTACTTATATCATATTTTGTTTTATATCATAGTCGAAAATTATACATTTATCAAATTTTTTTTTAAAAATCTTTCAATTAATCAAATTTATTAATACAATTATATTAATAATAATAGATTTTATAATAATTCAATTGATAATTATTATTATTATTATTATTCAAACAAAATTCTAATTATTATAACAATATGTATAATAATATAATTTTGTATTAATTTTAAGCAAATAGTCGACAATTGTTTTGATATTTCCAGAATCGATGGCATACTGTTTGCACATATCCTGAGTGATAACTGAAGTGATATTATCGCCGATCCATTGGTTTGTCTTTTTCATCAGTTCTTCATCGGCACCTATTTCTTGCATTAGTTTTAGTGTTTTGAAAGCATTTTGACCATTGATTCGCAAGAAAATCAAATTCAGACATATTGTCTTCAGCGACGACACCATATACTTGTCGGCGATGTATAGTAACTCTTCACACATGTCATCCAATTTATCGCATTTCAGAAAATAAATATATTTGAGAAACTGTTTGAAGACTTTGCCGTCGATGTCATCGATAATTACTTCGTTGTTTGTCTTTTCCTTGCAATCAATGGTAAACATCTTCTCGAAAACCTCCGATCGGGCGCTGAGTATGAGTTTTGATGCGTAAAATACTTTCTCTGTTTTGCCGACAATCAGTCGACAATCGTTTAGTTCGCGAATACCAAACATGTTTCGCAAATCTAGTAAACATCGGTAACCGACCTCCTTATGGACAGTGATGTCAACGCCCACCACAAGTGTATTATTATTGCCGTCAAACAGTTTGTCGATATTGTTAATCAAATCTTGTTTACTAATAACCAACGGTACACTCCATTCGTCATCTGAACTAAAAATGTTGTCGAACTCTTGTATTTCATAGATATCATTATCACCACCGATGAGATACATCTTGTAGTGTGTTTTAACCACCAGTTCATTGGTCTCAACCAAACCAAGGAATAGAGAAACACCATCTTCTGTGTCATTATCACAATCGACACTAATTTTCCATTTATCTGATCCAATGTTGAAGTCATCGCTTACAAACTCTTTCTTTTCTGTCCAATCGATTTGCAACTCATCGGTAAAGTTGGCGACTCTGAACAAGACTTTTGTTTCATATGCTATAGTGTTGTCCATCAGTGATGTCGATGACGACACTGTCGACAATGTGTTTGATTTTTGTTCAGTCATTGTATAGTCAATGATTCCCCACTAATGTTATGTATAATCAAAATCAATGAATTAGTATTCAATAGGAACGACACGTTTTTTTTTAATCTTCAAATTCATTCATAAAACTTTATTACAATAGTCGACACTACAGTACAGTATAGTAGAGATAGTATACAAATAATTTCAATAATGCAACCAATCATATGATGATAGCAATACACTTGTAGTTTAAAAATTATTTGATAGTATTTACTAAATATTTCATATTAATAAACTGTATAAAATTTATTAATTACAATATAAATTATATATATCAAATTAATAGATTTGTAATAAATAATAAATTGCTATATAAATTTATATAATATTAAATTAATTTTTTTATTATTCAAATTCAATTGAGAATAATTATTATTATTATTCAAACAGAATTCTAATTATTATAACAATATGTATATCTCAAATAAAGTCAATATAGGTTATCAATAGATTACATAAATTTTACCGCAATTTAGTCGAAAATTATACATTTATTTAAATTTTTTAAAAAATCTTTGAAACTCTATATAAAAAAAATCTTTAAAAATCAAATTTAATAAATACAATTTCGGTATCAATATTATTAAAAATAGATTTTATGATAATTATTATTATTCAAACAAAATTCTAATTACTATAACAATATGTATAATAATATAATTTGGTATTAATTTTAGGCAAATAGTCGACAATTGTTTTGATATTTCCCGAATCGATGGCATACTGTCTGCAAATATCCTGAACGACAACTGAAGTGATATTATCGCCGATCCATTGGTTTGTCATTTTCACCAGTTCTTCATCGGCGTCAAAGTCTTGCATTAGTTTTAGTGTTTTGAAAGCATTTCGGCCATTGATTCGCAAGAAAATCAAATTCAGACATAATGTCTTCAGCGACGACACCATATACTTGTCGGCGATGTATAGCAACTCTTCACACATTTCATTCAATTTATCGCATTTCACTAAATAAAGGCATTTCAGAAACTGTTCGAAAACATCGGCGTCGATGTCATCGATAATCACTTCATTGGTTGTCTTTTCCTTGCAATCAATGGTAAACATCTTCTGGAAAACCTCCGATCGGGCGCTGAGTATGAGTTTTGATGCGTAAAACTTTTTCCTGTCTTTGCCGACAACAAGTAGACAATCGTTTAGATCGCGTACACCAAACACGTGTCGCAAGTCTAGCAAACATCGGTAACCGACCTCCTTATGGACAGTGATGTCAACGCCAACAACAAGTGTATTATTATTGTCAGCAAACAGTTTGTCGATATTGCTAATCAAATATTGTTTATCAATAACCAACTCTTCGCCGTATTCGTCATCTAAAGTAAATATGTTGTCGAACTCTTGTCTTTCATAGATATGATTATCACCACCGATGAGATACATCTTATAGTGTGTTTTAACAACCAGTTCATTGGTATGAATCAAATCAAGTGATAGAAAAACAGCATCTTCTTTGTCTTTATCACAATAGACACTAATTCTCCACTTATCTGATCCAATGTTGAAATCATTGCTTTCAAACTCTTTCTTTTCTGTCCAATCGATTTGCAACTCATCG